TAGCTGCCCCTCCAGGGCCCAGCCTCTGTCTTCATGGGTACCTTACACAGCTCACCACTTCCTCCCTAGAGACAACTCCCTCAGATGTCACCATACTCTCCCGGTTTCCCTTCTGCTTTTCTGGACGAGGCTGTGGTCTTTGCCAACTCCTCCTCCTCAACTCAGTCTGTGAAAACAGAGCTGAGCCAGGCTTCTCTCTCTCCCCTCTCATTCTCAGTAACTTCACCCCGCCCGTCTGCCATCATTCATCAGTCACCTCTCTGACATGAGTTCCAGGCTAGTTAGGACTTCTCCGTGTTTGGTGTGGAACTGCACAAGACGTCAAAAATGTAAGGTGTTGTCACATGTGTGCTCCCAACCTATGGTAGAGTCATCTGTGATGTGTCATCAAATCACCTGACACTCATAGCGGCCCTAAGCACAATAGTTCTGAACCCTGTCCTATCCTGGGCCAATCTGTCTGACACATCTGTCCTTATTACCCCAGTCACTGTGTCAATCCATCTCATCCAGAGTCTTCCTCTCCTGCACTGACCCACCATCCTTCCAAGCATGATGTCCTTCTCCAAGGACTGGTCCCTCTTAGCAACATGCCCAAAGTATGTGAGATGCAGCTTCAGAATCCTGCCTCCAGACAGCAAGTTGGTTTCACCCTCAGGGCTCAGCAAGATTACATCTGGCAAATTATAACATGGCAACACAAATACTAATTACAGCAAAATGCATCTGGTATTATAAAACCAAAGATGGGCTCAACCTGGAGCATGCATTCCCTTACTCTTCAAATCATGTCTTATCAGTTCCACCTAGCATAATGCCTGGAACATTTACTCCCTTGCTCCTGCCCCAGGGCCAGCCACAATTACCCTTCACCTACTGACCAGGGCAGTCGCCTGCATGATTTCCCAGCCTCCTGCTCCTTGACTACAGCCTGGAGTCCAGACAGCAGCCATGACCAAGCCAACCCACCAACTGAAAAATGCTAGTGTGTGCGTGTCAGGGCACTCCAGGGTTTTCAGCGGTGGATTTTTCACAAGTAGATCATCAGGTTTTTGAGCAAATGCAAACATCTAGCCTTGTGATTAACCCTTTGCATCGCCCAGAGACTCCTAAAGTAACCATAAACAAAACACAACAAAAGTTGTTTCCATGGAAACAGTCAATCATGACTCCTGTTCACCTTATAGGACAAAGAAGAACTGTCTCACAAGGTTTTTGACATGAACTCTTCATGGAAGCGAATGGCCACATCTTTTCCTCCAAGAGTATAAGTGGTGGACTGGAACTGCCAACCTTTCAGTTAACAGCTGAGCGTTTAACTACTGCACCACCAGAGCATCTACAGGAAGCCCCCATGCACATATGCGTGAACTACGGTGGGAGAATGATTCAGATAGCGACACTACATAGCTGAGTAGAACCGTCCCATAGGGTTTCCAAGGCCTGAGATCTAAGGGAAGCGGAGTGCCCCATCTTTCTTGCACGGAGCAGTGGATTCGAACCAGTGACCCTTCGGTTAATTCGAACCAGTGACCCTTCGGTTAACAGTCCAAGGTCTGACCAAACACTGTAAAAGTTGACTATGCATGTCTTCAAGGCTAAACTCCACTCCACATCACATCCACAAAGCCCTCGGGAGACCTGGGCTCGGGAACCTCATCCTCCTACAATTGTCTCCCAGCATCGTGATACACTGGCCTCTTTGCGTTTCTCAAACACTCAGTCTGTTCCCTTCTCTGTACTTGCAGTTCCCTCAGCCTAGAACACTCCTGCACAGGAGACCTTTGCAAAAGCTGAACACGTCTTCATTCAAGTCTGAGCTGAGACGTCACTGCTCCAGGGACCTCCTGGACCCCGCAGTCCCCACCCCATCCTCGTGGCACTTCCCGCCCGCTGACGCGCCCCCCAAAGCCGGGACGCAGCGAGCGCTCGTAAAGACAGGGCGAGCTGGGGCGTGGTGGGCGGGAAGGCGCTTAGAGATCCCTGCATGCGCCCCTTCTGCAGATGGGGACACTGAGGCCCGGGAGTGTCCCCCTCGTCGCTGCGCGCACAGCTCGAGCGGGGACCCCGCTGCCCGGACCCCCGGGGTCGCACGGCCACACGCCCACTCACCTCCGCCCCGGGAACTTCGGGCCAGAACCTCCTGCCGGAAGTGCGAAGCTTTACGCCGCACGGCGGGGCGGGACTTCCGCCGGAAGTCAGCGGGCGATGGGCGGGCCCGCCGAGGTGCTGGCGGGTGGGAGGCGGTGGGTTCCCCGGCTCCGCCTTCCAGGCCCGCAGCCCCCTGGGGACCCCTGAGCTCATTGCTCGGGTGTCCGGTGCTCCCCTACCCAGCGGGCATTCCCAAAATGCCAGCGTCCAGTCCAGTGCTGGGCAGTGAGGGAACAATCAGAAACGTCTGTTTTCCTCCTGGGAGCTCAGGTCAGCTTTTTGGGAGTAAGCTGTTAGGTGCCATCGAGTAGGATTCATAGCGACCCTGTGAACAGCTGACCTGAACCCTGGCCTATCCCGTGCCATCCTCACACTCAGACTCATGGCTGAAGTCATCGTGTCAATTCACCAGGTTGAGGCTCTTCCGAGCACGATGTCTCCTCTCCAAGAACTAGCGTCTCCTAGCAAGAAGCCCAAAGCATGTTGAGAAGCAGCTTTGTCATCTTTACGTCCAAGGAGCATTCTAGCTGTACCTTCTCCACGACATAAGTAGGGGGCATGGAACTAAGATGATCCATCCACATTGTTACGAGCCCTCAAGTCAGAACTGACTCATGGCGGACCCTCCTGCAGGTTTTCAGAGGCTGTGAATGGCATGGGAGGAGGTTGGCAATCTCTCCTGTGGGGAGCAGCTGGTGGTGGATTTGAACTGGGTTCTGTAGGGTTGGCAGTGCAACTTCTTACCACTAGGCCACCAGATCTCCCTAGGTGATAAGGTAGGAATAAGCATTTATGAAGTATTTCTGTGTGCTTAAAACTTTGTATAAATTATCTTGATTTCAATAGGTAAAGGGAGAGCTTCTCAGAAGGAGGGATGAGAAGGTAGAGAACCATGGTTGGAAAAGTAGCCAAAGGGGGCAGGCTGCAGTGGTCCCCCAATGCCAGCCTAGGAAGCTGGGATTTCAGGAATCTTGCAGGAGGGCATGAAAGGGGTGGAGCTTGTGGATCTCTGGCTCCCAGACTGGCTGTAAGTGACTCAGCTGGGCCCCCTTCTCCCTCTTAAACACAAGGCTCAAGACCAGAGCGCAAGCAGAGCTCTATGCAAATGGCTGTTGTCGCTGCCAGCTGGCTTCCACAGACATTGACTCATTCTACGCTCACCAAGCACCCACAAAGGCACCCATTGCTGCCCCAGGTCTCGGCTTTGTGCAGCCCTCGAGGCCTGTAGTGCATGCACTTTCTGTGCCTTTTCAGAGAGGCAAGAAAAAGCATCTATTTTCATCACCGCCCTCATTCAACCTTCCCAGCTACCAAGACTGAGGTTTGGGGCAACAGCCTAAACACCAGCTGGGAGGCTGGGCACGGATGCACAGGGTGAAGAACGTGTCTCGTTGTAAGGCCAAGTGCTTGAGCTGTTCCCACCGTGTCCCTGGCAGGGAGGGGATGGAGGACGTGTTCACAGGGTGGGCAGTATGCCCTGAGATACCCCGCTGTGCTCAACAGGCCAGAGCAGAAAACGTTTTGTCCCAGGGCAACACTGTGTAAACATCCTTTACCAGGTGAGCCTGTGCGTGTGTGTAAACAGGTGCAGGAAGGAGTCTCAGGGCCCCTGCTGGAGCGCTCCACATCCTCCCAGATGCACGGAGGAGAAGGCTTGTCGAGGTGAGCGCTTCACCCCAGGGCAGGAACAGAGAAACAGCTGTTACTGGGAACCTCAGTTTGTACATGAAAGAGGATTTATTGAAAACATGGTTACGGACAGGAAGCTCCTGGCTGCTCGCAGGTTACAATCTTGCCTCACAATTGGAAATGTTACTATTTTCTCCCCCAATTTCATTTTCCTCCAAGCACTGAGTCCCAGGATAGGTAGATCTTCTATAAATATATATACATGTGTGTGTAAGTATGGCCAAGAATAGAGAAAATATATAGTACACTCTTCATTGAATAGTACCTACCATGCTGGGCGACCCATAGAATGCTGCTGTGGTACCATGTGTTCAAGGGGAGGGGCTGTGGGGGTCACGTGGGCTCCAGCACCAGGAAGGCCCCAAGGACACAGCCATGGCCTCAGCTGGGCTACCAGCTCTCTGATATCACAGCCAACAGCAGAAACTGAACCACTGGAAAGAGGAGTAAAGGGGCAGGCATCCTGGGGTCTGGCAAGAAAACAAACCAGAGGGGCTGCAATTCAGGCCAGGTGGGTGATTTCTACCAAGGCAAGGCAAGATAGAAACGAGGGGGATGGGATCCGGTGACCTCACTGGGGCTTCTCCTGGAGAGGTCTTTGAGACTAAGAGGCAGGTCTTAGCCCAGAGGCCTCTGACTTTCTGCATGACAGGGTGAGAGCTTGGAGAGGAGACCTTTCCATCTACCCTGAAAAATCCACAGAGAGCACACTGGTGACCCCAGATGGGAGAGATGTTCGAGCCCATGTCAGCAGCAGCAGCATGTTGGCACCGTGGGAGGCTGGAGAGAGCCCTGATTGAGAAGACAGCTAAAGGCCCAAGGCAGCCACCCACCAAAGGCCAAGGCCAAGGCCTGAGATCTGAGCCAGGCCTGGGTCGCTCAGCAGTCTTCTCATGAGGCGCTGAACATGCTGTCTTCCGCAGCCAGCCACCCCGGGCTAGTTCCTGCTCCCCCGAGCTCCAGCACGCAGACAGCCAGCTCAGAGAAGGAGAGATGAGTGGCTGCTGTTAAATCCTGCTCAAGAGACAGCTTCCTGGGCTGGAAGGCAGGGGTCTGTGTTCATTCCCCACAACCCAATCCCAGGCGTCATGGTGATGGGCGGGCGGACAGAGGGTTCACCTTCATGACTTAGCAGAGAGGACCGGGAGGCAGCTCTAGGCGGTCCGAGGAACGGCTGGCACTGGCTGGCCATCAGAGTCACTACAGATTCTGTACAAGCAAAGGACAAGGCACCAGACTGTGAGTCTCTCCTGGGCCCCGAGTCCCTTCCCGGGTGTTGTGGCCTCCGGCTCAGGCTCAGCCGTAGTGATAGACGAAGTCGTAGCTGCTCGGCTCCTTGGGGACGGGCGGCGGGGCCTCGGGGATCTGGACGTTCTCCAGGTCCAGCAGTCGCAGCTTCATCTCCATGCTCAGCAGCGTGTCCAGGTCACTCTTGGTCAGTTCACTGGACATGTCCTTCCCGAGGAGGGCACTGAGGCCGTCGATCCAGATGCAGTACTGTGGGAAGCAAGTCACACCGTGTCACCTGGTGGCTGTGTTTGGTGACGTGCTGCCGAGGCCCCTTTGCTCAAGGGCCTCACAGACACACCTCTTCTGTTAGTGCACACCAAACCGACGTGCTGCAGACCCGACCCAGGAAGACATGGAGTAACAGCAGAGATGAACCGGACGTGAGCACGTCCTTTCCGAAAAGTCTACAGGCTCTTATGAGGGGATTTCTATCAGCACGCCTTAAAGTATATACCAAGATGCCTTAAAAAGTAAAATACTCCTATGGAATGTGACTGCTTAAATGTATAATGGATCGATCCTGGTCAGGCCTGAGGGATGGACCTCATGTACTTGAATGGCCCTCAGATGAGAGGCAGGGGAAGGAAGTGAGAACATAGGGGCCAAACAGGAATCCTAATAGGATCTCAATTTTGTGTCAAAAACCCTAAAACTTAAAAAATACAAAAACATGGAGCTCTGGTAGCCTAGTGGCAAGAAGCTGCACTGCAATCCCAGAGGTGCGCAGTTCAAATCCACCAGATGCTGTGCTGGAGAAGGGGGGGCAATCTCCTCTTACACCAGTTGGATTCGATTTGATGATACACAAAAAAAAAAAAAAAAAAAAAAAAAAAAAAGAAAACCAAACCCAGTCAACACATGTTAGAAATAAAACCCAGACAGGCTGAACTTGAGGGTCTCAAGAGAGAAAACAAGCTCGTCTTCACCTCCCTCCCTCTCCTGAAATGCCCAGGTTTTCCTTTTCTGACGCCTTTGCTCATCTGCTTCCCCACCCACTTGTCCTTCGTTCCCTCCCGGTGAGACTGCAGAGACCACTCCGGCCAGCCCGTGTCTCTTCTTCCAGAGCCTTCCTGTGGTCCCACCATTGCTCTCAGAGCACCTATGGTCTCAATCACGTTACTCATTCAATAACTGGAAGTTTCTACTGCAGCAGTTGAACTATCAGCCGCTTTGTCAGCAGGGTAGGTCCATGTGGCTTCCGAGCGTGTCCCAGATCCACCCCGTGTGACCGGAAGCCCTGCCAGCTTCACTGGGGAGGTGTCACAGAGAAAGCGGGAGCAGGAGAGTTATCGTCAACCTCACTGACTCATCAGGAGAAAAAATGATCCCTAGGTGACCTGACCTTTCTCAATGACCACGTCACCAGGCTGCTGAAGAGTAACTGAAAGACACAGCTCAATGAATGGAAGGGTCTGGTGTCACGCAGGCTGCGGGGCACGCTGTGGCCATCTGCCTTCAGGAGCTGCCCAGTTCTGCCCCCTCCTCCTGTGCAATGGCACAGCCACAGTGAGGGCTCTTTGGTCCAAACGATGCCACACTACTCACCTCATATTTATTCGGTGCAATGAAGTTTAAGGTCTCATCAGGGTCATACAGGATGGAGAAAGCCAATTCCAGCACCTCCTAGGGAGAGAGGCCTTGGTTACTCTGTGGTAACGCAACGGCTTGGCTTCTGCCCACCAAGACCTTGGCCAAAGTCCTAGTCATTCAGCAGCACCCTAAAAAGTCTCACTCCAGATGTGATGGCAGCCAGGGCCCTAGGCAGGCACACAGATGTGGCTGGAGACGCGGTCCAGAGGCCATCTGTCATAACTTGCTCACTGCCCGCCCACAATCACACCTCTGTTGTGTTACCTTTAAAAATGCAGAATGGTCACTTTCAACATTCAGAACCCTCTGAGTGCCAGAATCCGTCCTGTATATTATCCTGAAAGCTGATGCCTGCCTGTCTGTTCTTACCATGCTGGAAATGGCATACGAAAGTCTTAAAAACTCAAAAGATGGCAAAAAACCCCACCACACTGTGGCCAAACCCGGCACTGGTTGAGAATTAACAAAATGTTAACTGTAATGGGTTGGAACAAAAATAGTTTGCTTAAATTCATGTGCTTATACCATAGCAAAAGATCAAACAAAACTAAGCTAAAAAAAAAGACCCAAAAAAGCCAGAGACAGACAGACAGACACACACACACCCTTGGCCACTCCTGATGTTATCAGGGAACTAAGGTATCACCTTAAAAATAGGTCCCCCAAAAGGAAGGACTAAACATTTGTCCTCTCTTATATAAAATCTGCAATTGGAAAGTCAATGGCTGATGAGGGGAAGTTTGTCTTTAGAGAAACAGTTTAACTAATAAATGAGAAGGAATGGCTGAATTAGGGTATCATCGTTTTGCAAACTTTCATTTACTAATGAATGAGGCCTTGAACTTTAACAGCTTGCTGACATCACAGAGACAGAGCAGACTTTATGTGTCTCTGGAGAGGACAGAACATCATCCACGAAGCAACCTTGCCTCCACTCAAAAAAGTCAAACCTAAACTGGATCAAGCCTCTCCATTCCACCACCGGTTTATCTGGGGCAGATCTGGGGCACGGTGTGTGTTAAGTTGTGCTGTGGGGATATGATCAGCAAAATTCAGATTCTGCTTGGTACTTGGAAAGTACTCAACAAGCAACCTGGTTCTCTCCTAATAATCTGCCAGGGGGAGAAAAGAGGAGTGGGAACTGGTCAGTGAAGAATCTTACAAGATAGACCAACTCATCAAGATGCATAGACATGCATGAATCCTGAGTTAACAAAACAGCTGAGAAAGTGAGAAAGGGACAGAACGAGAATGTATGTATGTATGTACATTTTTACATAAAGAAATAATATTAGGGAGCTCTGGTGGCCTAGTGGCAAGAAGCTGCACTGTAATCCCAGAGGTATGCAGTTTGAACCTACCAGATGCTCTGCTGGAGAAGGAGGGGCAATCTCCTCCTGTACCAGTCAGATCTGATTTGATGGTACACACACACACAAAAAAAAAATAAAAAAAAAGAGAAAGAATATTGATAAAACAATTGGAAAAATTAAAATATCAATGAATATTTCATGATATTTATGTGTGATAGTGGTTCTGTTAAAAGAATCCCTACACTTTAGCGAGGGACCTCTGGTAGCATGGTGGTGAGGAGTCGTGATGCTAACTGAACAGGAAGTGGTTTGAATCCACCCGCTGCTCCATGGGAAAAAGGTGGTCAATATTTCATGTGATTTATAGCCTCTAAAACACACTGGAGGGTCAGCTATGAATCGGTTCCAACTTGATGGTACATTAACAACAAACTTCAGAAATACATATAAAATATTTGTAGAGTCCATCAACAAACAAATGGATAGAGAAGCTGTGGTATATTTACCCAAAGGAATACCACGCTGCATTGAAAAACAAGGAACTCATGCAGTATTATACAAAATGGGTGACCCTGGAGGACGTTATGCTGAGTGAAACATCTCAGTCACAAAGGGACAAATACAGGATAGTGCCACTGTTGTAACGGGATTGACATTGGGGCTGGGGGGGCGGAAATCTAAGAAAAGAAGGGATAAATAGTGTACACTGCATTGAAACAGATGAGGGAGAGGACTATTTGAAAGGAATATATGATTAGGTATATTTTTCATGACAAGAGTCTAAAATGAGAGCTGCATAGGGGAGTGAACTGGGGGGGTTGTATAATAATGGAAGGTTTTGTTTTTCTTTGTTTTTTTTTTAAATTTTTGTGTGAGTGTACCGTCAAATCAGATCTGACTGGTACAGGAGAATATTGTTCCTCCTTCCTCAGCAGAGCATCTGGTGGATTCGAACCTTGTGCCTCTGGGATTGTACTTGCAGCTCCTTGCCACTAGGCCACCAGAGCTCCCCTGTTTTTCTTTTTTTTTTTAAACCAACTGGGTGGGCAGGGAGGATAATGTGCAACAATGAATGAATGGAAATCCAAAGTCTCTATAAACTTTCATTAAAATTTCAACTAAAAAATATTTGCAGAGAAAACAATCTTATACTTTGGATTTGCATCAAAATAAACCTACTTCTCACTAATTGACAAGTTTTTGGTTCCCAAAATAGGTTGTGAGGTGAAAATCAGCATTAAGTGAAAACTGATGACCACATTACAGAAATGGAGGACGACCACTCATTAATAAGAAACCACAGAGAATCAAGTCCTCACCACGTGGACACACACAGAACCAGCACAGGCAGCTCTACTCTCATCTCACACCCTGCTTCCATTAATGACAGACATCAGGTCACTAAATTGCAACCCAGCTGGACAGGAGAATTTTCACTACTGACACAAATGCAAATGCTGGATCAGGAGAGAGTTGCTAAGTGAGGAGGGAGACGGACGGGAGAGGGAGGGTGGACGGGAAGAATCTGTCGTGGTTATAAGGAGGCTTTGCAGTTGTGTTAATCTAAAATTACTCTTAATAAAACATTTAGGGATAATTTCAGGGGAGAAGACAACCTAAAAACAGTGCCACTACTGACTAGGACAGTGGTGTCTGTCGGTGACAGCTGATGACCTGGACACATCACTGTGACAGCAGCTTGAATGTGGATCGCCTCTCCACTCACCTTGTTCTGCTTCAGAGCACTTTTCTCTTTCATGTGGGGACAATCTTTCCCGGTGACGATGGCCTTAATGTCTGCAACAGGAACTGACAGAGGATGGACGTTAGTCCCTGCGAGGCTCACACAGCATGCTGGTTCCTACGTCAGTGCCGGGAAGGACGCCCTGGCACAGGGCTCAGGCGGCCTCGCTTGAAGGGCTACTGGCTCAGGGAGAGTGGTCTTTGCAGTTCCCTCCTCCACGCTCACTTTCCAAGTTAACTGGGTGGCAGCTGACTGGGGGTTACCTCAAGGCTCCTGGGTCTCTATCTCCACGGAACGGGCCTTGGGCACTCTCCTTTCTTTCATTCCACAGCGCGCCACCACACGGCAGGAGCAGTGGAGACAGTACGGTTCCGTTCACTACACGTCAGGTGCTGCTCTAACTGCTTTACTGTTACTACTCGGCCAACCCCCAGGAGGTAGTGTGGTTATTACTCCCATTTCACAGGCGAGGAAACTGAGGCAGAGGGGAGAATTAACTTGCACAGAGAAGTCAGAGCTAATTAATGGCCAAGTCAGAACATGAGCCCAGGCTGCCTGGAGAGTCCATGTTCGTAACCATTAGTCGCTGACCATCCTTTACCACCTGCACTCTCCCCAAGCCACCCTGTGAGGGAGGCCAGGTGGAAATGACTCCTGGCTGATGACCTGTTCAAGGTCACGGCATCTGAGTGAAGTCCTGACGCTGACTAGCCAGCAGGACGCAGCGAGTGAGACATGAACCTACTCTTCTCCTGCAGGGACTCGAAGGTCACCTCCCCTTGAGGGTTGTCATCCAGGTCGCCGTAGTGCAGGACCTTGTGGTTCAGAGCCAAGCGGCAGTACCAGAAGCGTTCTAGAACACAAGGGGAATGGAGCAGGTGAGCAGCGGAAGGAGGGCTTGGCCTGGCCCGCTTCCTGCAGGCATGAGGACGGGAACCCAGAGACCGGAGCCCGGGGCAGGGGCTGCCAGGCAGGCGCCGCTGGTCAGGGAAGGGCTGGCCCAGCGCCCAGGTCCTCCTCTCACCTTGTCTCCGACGGTTCCCGATCTTTCGGAAGCTGCTGCCTTCACAGAGCCGGTTCAGGCGCTGCTGCTTGATCAGCTCGAGGATCTCGGGCTGGATCTTCTCCCTCAGCTCCCTGCAGTGAGCACGTGTCAGGGAGAGGTCATGTCACCGTCACAGGGCCGCACGCACACGATGGGAGGGGACTGGAAGTCGTCCCGACTCATCCGCTCCGTGTCCTCCCCGACCCACACGCATCCCCCGGCCGGCACTCACACGATGGGAGGGGACTGGAAGTCGTCCTGACTCATCCGCTCCGACTGGCGCAGCCGCAGGATCTCCGAGTAGCTCAGGCTGCGCAGTTTGCTTTTGAACTGATCCAGAGAGTTGGGTTTGGAGGGCAGGGCCCGGGTGATCTGTTCACGGACCACCTGCATGACCTGGGGGACAGGAAGTGGCGGCCGAGTTAAGGACACTGCTTGGTAAGCGGAAAGGACACTTCCCCAGGGTGCTCAGCACCGTGGACTCCACAGGCATCTACTCAGGGATGGATGTTCTGATCAAGGGACTGATCTCAAGAAAGGCCTTTGACTCAAACGTCTCAATTCATCACTGTGGCTGAAGAGCAGAGGTTGTTGGAGTCGGACAGAAATGGGTCCAGAACGCACTTCTGCCCCCGGATCTACTATTTCAGCCAGTCGTTTCACATCCTCGGGACTCAATAATTAAAGCAGGAGGGGGGAAAGGCCCATTTCCTCACATATGCGTCTGCATGGAATTAGCGATTTACGGAAAACAGATACAGTGGCTGGTAATGACTGTGTGTTCTGTAAATGTGTCAGTGCCCCTGACACAAAGAGAAGGAAAGGAGAACACAGTGTGTGCGCAGTATGACCTCACCAGTGAAGGAAGCATCTCCAGGAGGGAAGATGACAGGGAAACGCACACAGAAGTATTAACGACAGCCAGTAGTGCGGCATCAGGACTGGAGGAAGACTCATCAACAATCTGCGTTATGCAGATGACACAACCCTGCTTGCTGAAACTGAGGAGGACCTGAAGCTCTTGCTGCAGAAGGTCAAGGACTGCAGCCTTCAATATGGATTGAGGCTCAATATCAAGTAGACAAAAAATTTCACCACTGGGCCAATTGGCAGCATCAGGATGGATGGTGAAGAGATTGAGATTGTACACAGCTTTAGTCTGCTTGGCTCCACAGTCAATACTCTTGGCACCAGCAGCCAGGAAAATAAAAATATGTATTGCAATGGGAAAGTCTGTTGTTAGGGACCTCTCCAGGATACTGAAGAGCAATGGTGTCACTCTGGAGACTAAGATGTGCCCGATACAGGCCATGGTCTTTGCAATCACTTGCTATGTGTCAGAGAGCTACACAATGACTAGGGATGACAGAAGAAGAATTGATGCCTTTGAGCTGTGGTGCTGGAGAAGAGTATTGAGAATACCATGGACTGTCAAGAAAACAAACAGGTTCGTTCTGGAGAGGGTTAAGCCAAGCTGCTCCCTGGAGGAAAAGATTATGAAGCTTTGTCTGACATACTTTGGACATGTTGCAAGGAGAGACCAGTCCTTGGAGAGGGACATCATGCTTGGGAGGATGGAGGGACAGCGCAGGAGGGGAAGACCCTCTATGAGGTGGACTGATTCAGTGACTGAGGTAATGGGGGTAGGTGTGTTGGAGACAGTGAGATTGGCACTGGACATAGCAGGGTTTAGGGCTGTTGTGCATAGGGTTGCTATGAGTCGCAGGCGACTTGACGGCACCTAACAACAGCAACAGTGCCGGGTGGGATTAAATAACATTTTCGTTTTTATACTTTTCCACCTTTAACGATGAGCTGATGGCACTCCCCTTCTAGATCAGCTAGGTCCACGCTCTACAGAAGGGGGTGCTTGGAAAGCAGCGAGGAAGGATCATGGAGTAAGCACCCCCCACACACACACACACACACTGTCACGAGTGAGAATCCACGCCAGGGCACTCCCCCCTCAGGATGTGCACGCTGTGCCAATCCACTCCCACCGCCACCACCACTGCTGGTTCAGGAGCCACGGCTGAGCCCACACGAAGCCAGTGCTCAGGCAACCCCAGCTGTCGCTCCTTCCTGAGGAGGATGCAGGAGGGGGTGAGAATGCTGGCTCCACTGGGCAAAGCAGGGAGGCTGCTTTATCCACGGTGCTGAGAGCTCGGGCACCATCGCTCTGTGACTTCTCCAGCTCAAGGATGTAACGAAGTCAGAAGAGAGGAGGCCAAGGCTCCCCAGACCTTGGACCAAGCTGTTTTCTCAGCTCAGAGACTGCCGGGCTCTGGCCAGCTGTGCGACGACCACGTGACAGGCTCTATTCACGGACTGTGGAGCAGCTCGGTGGCACTGACCTTGTTGAAGTCCTCCGCTGTTGCCCGCATCTCTTTCCAGGTCTTGTTCAACAGCTGGATGCAGATTCCAAAGAGCTCTTCAAAGGCACGGTCGTGCGTGAAGAACATCGGGTGGTAGTCGTTGCGTCCTTCATTTGCTGCAGGGGGAGTGGGGGGGAGGATAAAGGTCCGACCCGGGGGGGGGGGGGATGCGGGCTCGTGCTCTGAGACGCCTAAACCTCCAAGAGTCCTGAGACAACACCAGACCACGGACTGGGCTAACGAGGACCTGAGACGGGCCTTTCTCTTCACACTGAATTCTCTAGGGCACTACCCTTTGCTCTGTCTCAAGGTGCTGACCCAGCTCAGAGCTACAACAAGGATAAAGTGGGTTATCAGTTCCTGCGGTGACAGAAAATCCACACGGTTGCCCGGGCCCCCTGACACCTGACTGCCTCTCGAGTCCCAGCAGGGGCTGGGGGCACAGGGGGAATGGTGCAGACTTACGGAGTTCCCCAACCTGGAGGATCTCACATAGCATCTTGGTGAGTTCGATGGCGCTGCGGCCAAAGGGGCACTCATGCTTGTCTTCACGGCTGCTGTTCTCCAGAACGATCTGAGGAGGGGCAGGGAGAGACCGTCAGGGGGAAAGCTGAAGGACAGGCCACCAGGACAGAGCCAGCCCCACGCCTTTACCCGGATGTAGGTGTCCTGGTGGACTTTAGCCAAGTACAGCATGTTGTCCAAGGCCAGCATTCCAGGAGGAGTCTGGGTAAAGTCCATGGCAGGGTTGATGTGGTTCTGGAGGATAAAGAAACCCGGTTTGAGACTTGGTAAGTTCTGAGTGGGGTGTTCCCCGAAGGAAGACCCCTGCTGACACCCTGCTCCCTGCATGCTGTCATCACTCTGGGCTGCCCTCTGTGGGTGCCCACCTCCACCACCACACTGTGAGGGTCTCAGTTCTGCTCTGCACTGTGGTTGCCACACCTCAGACCCCAGCCCCTGGCACGCAGCCTGACACCTAGAAGTACAACAGTTACTTCATGAAATCTGCCCTCTCCTCAAGCTGTGTCAGCCACAAGACATTCAGGCTAGCTTCTAAAAGAACTTGGCCAACCCTGGTTAGAGGACAGAAGGGCGCTGCTCACTGTGGCTGGCCACGCGACCCTTCCACAAGCAGATCTGCTGGAGAGGATCCTGGACAGCCATAGGGAAAGCAAATCAAAGATCTGGGATTGTCCCAGGGCCACCACTACGAAAGAGGGGACCCCATAGCCTATCTGGAGAAGGCCTACCAAAGCCGCACTTCAGAGAGCACTTGCGCCTTTTATCTTAAAGAACTCTTGGTCTTTAGTTCCTAAAAGACCCTAAAACCAAGAATTTGTGACCTTGTGATAGCAGTTGACCTGGAAGAGGTCAATCACACTTAAGAGGTCCCAGTAAGACTCTGGACCTGGAATCTCCACGGGCTTCCTGGCTGGTGAAGGACATCAATGCATCTGGGAAGGCAGCTTGGGCCTTTTTGGACCGTGAAAGCTCCTATTAAGAGTCCTGTCACACCTCTTCTTCTATGTCTCTCCGTCCGGGCCCTTTCTACCTTATTAACACTGTCATCTTAAGTGCAGCATTTCTGTGAGTCATTCTAACACATAATTGAGTCTGAGGGAATAGTGGAAGCCAGCAGGCCAGCAGTGAGGAGAGCTGGAAACCTTGGAGCTTAGCTATAGAGAACCCTGGAATTTGTAGCCAGCAGGTCAGAAGTGAGTGAGGCAGGTGTCACTGAGTTTGTGATGTGTGTCTGGAATGAGCAGTGAGAAAACCCTTCACTTGCGGTCCTGGGAACTCCAGGGCGTGCAGCTGCTATCCTGAGATCTAGGGTGCAGTTGGCCATCTGGAAGGCTGTGTGCCCTTTGACTTGTGAGTTCTGACCTCCCCCTGGGCGATGAAGGGCAGAGGAAGAAGTGCAGCCTGGGTAGTTGGTGTCAGAACAGAAGAGACTGGAATAGACCTCATCTCAGCGGTTCCAGTGTGGTGTCAGAGGAGAGAGACGTGGGACTCGGGGGTGGAGGGTGTGCAGGTACTCACGGTGAACCCCAGCATTTTGTAGTCCTTGGTGTACATGGCCTTTCTTTTTTCAGTTCCACTCCCGGTGACACTGCCAGGGTCTGACTCCGCATCAAATGCAATCCTCCTCAGTTCAAATATAATGTCTCTCTGAGCCTGAGAGGCAAAACAGATGGTTAACAGGTCATTCAGCGAACCGAGGGGACATGGAGAGCGAGCAGGGGGCCAGGCTCTTCTCAGAACGCTGGCTATGACTGATCTCCTCAGACAGACCACTGATACCACCGTGGCCAAACGGGAGGTATCCCTCAGGGGTGACCACGGGGAGGCCAGGTTTTCCAGGGTCAGCACAAACCACTCTGCAGACAAAGGTCCAGCATGGGGCTTCAAAACGACAGATGCTCTGGACGAACCAAAGGCAGATGCCCCACAGCCAGCCCACAGGTCAAGCAGCGGGAGCCCTGCCCCCCCCCGAGAACCCACCTGGTCATTGGGGTCCATCTTCGTCATCATCCTTTCCTCCAGAAGGTTAAAGGTCAGGACTTGCAGGACATACAGCTGATGGGCCATCTCGGTTTTGATGGGGCGGTTCCCTCGGATCACATGCTAGAGAAAGGAAAAGCAGGGCGCGGGGTTTGAGTGGATTGGCCTTTGACTGAAGAGGTGCAGCGAGCTAGTACATTACGTCAGGCACTGAGCTGGGTGCTTCTCCCCGACGGGGACTTCATGTTCTAGGAAGGGGACAGGAGCATGAAGGGGCAGACAGTTCCCTCCAGGCCCCTGCAGGCCCCGGGGCAGCACCCTTCCCCACACCCCTCAGGAGGCCAGAGGCTGCACCCTCCCTGCCAAACTGGGGGAGGCTGCCTGTGAAGATAATGACAAAGGACAGGGCAGGGGGACCTTCGTCCAGTCAGAGCGCTCACAGGACCACCAAATCCAGTGAGTATAAACCACCACGCTGGGCAGTACTGCCTTTCCTTACAGAAACAAAACATCCTGGATGGCACCATGACACTGAGGCTTCAGAAAAGGTCATTTTCCTTATAAATAATATTCACACCTCTGCATGAAAGAGGGGGACACCTAACTCCTTACCCAACCCTCCCACACAGCCCCATTCCCTCCCTCTCTCATTGTCCCTCTCCTGTCACTCCGCATCTCCTTCGTCTCTACTTTTGTCTCCTCCACTCCAAGCCGCCCACTATGCTCTTCTCGGGTTATCATCCCCTTCCTCCTGCTGTCACCCCGGCAGGTCCCCCTCTCTAACACCGTCTCACGCACGCTCTGTCTCCCTCGGTCCCTGCTGGCTGGTCACTTGATTACACTCTGGTCTCTATCCTGTTCTTATTCCCACTGTATTCTACCTTCTTGTCCCTCTGTATTCTTCACTCCTTCACTTCACCCACCACCTGGATCCTGTCACTCCTGTTCATTCACACCCAATCAGACACTCTTGCCCAGGTTTCCACAGGCACCGCCTTTATGCCCCCCATGATCCCGTATTTGGTCTAGCCCTGGGTCTTGGGAGCTGTGCTATGCTGGTGTGTTGCATGGTAGCTGTTGGCTATATATGGCTGTTTGAATTTCAGTTAGTTAAAAGCAAATAAAGTAGGGAGCTCTGGTGGCCTAGTGGCAAGAAGCTGCACTGCTATCACAAAGGCACGTGGTTTGAAACCACCAAATGTTCCACTGGAGAAGGAGGGGCAATCTCTTCCTGTGCCAGTCAGATCAGATTCAACAGCACACAACAAGGGCGGGGGGAGGAAATAAAGTTCCTTTGTTGAATTAGTTACATGTCAGTAGCTGATTTACCGTACAGTGTAGCTACAGAGTGTTCCTACCATCACAGAAACACTGTGATAGTTTCAGATTACTCTAATTCTAGACCACATCTTTCAGAGCACATTCTAACTTGAGATCAACTCTCTCTGGATTTGTACTAGCTCTAGTGCAATCTCTGGTGGCCTAGCGATAAGAAGCTGAGCTGCAATCCTGAAGGCATATGGTTCAAACTCACCACCTGCTCTGGGGGAGAGGATGGGCAATCTCCTCCCATGCCATCAGATGCCTCTGAAAACCCACTTCTGACTCAACAGTACAGACCACCGCCATCATACTGGAGTTATAAACCATGGTAGTCACTAGTCCCAAGCACACCATGCGGACACCACAAGAACAGACAGACACGTCACGGAGAGAGTGCAGCCAGAGTGCACCTTGGAGGTGAGGATGGTGGAGCTTTGTCTCGCATACTTTGGGCATGTTGCTAGGAAGGCTATTCCTTGGAAAATGACATCATGTTTGGAAAGGTGGAGGAGGGTCAGCGAGAGGAAGACCCTCGACCAGCTGGGCACAGTGACTGCAGCAATGGGCTCAAGTGTGTCAGAGTGTGTGAGGTTGCACAGGACAGGGCAGGGCTCAGATCTGTATGACCACGGGGTTGCTATCGGTCATACTCCACTTGATGGCACCTCACAAGTCAGAGGTGGCCACCGGACACTGGAAAAGTGGCCAGTTCAAACTGAGAGGAGCTGCAAGTACAAAACAGACGCGCAGTCCTGAAGCTTTAGGATGGACAGAAAACATCTCATTAGTAATGTATTTTACTCAGTCCCACAAGGATAAATATTGTATAAAACCGTTATTATAGAATGAGTATAAGGATCCAGGAGGGGTGGGAGAGGCTGGAAGCAGAGGGATGTGGATGTGGATGTGCAGGGGGAGCGGGGACACCGGGTTGTACAATTTGATGGGGAGGTGAGGGAAACGTAAAGAATTTGTTCAAATTTGTATTCAAGTTTTGTAAGTAGGATAAGAAATAAAAAATATAAAAAAATTAAAAACAAAACAAATATATTTTACTGTTGATTACCTGTTGAAATGACAGTATTTTGGAGCTATTAAGAAAGTGTTGAAATTAATTCCACTAATTCCATTTTCTTACATCACTATTAGAACAACTGAGGGGACACATGTGACTCAGGCTTTGTCCACGGGACGGTGTCGCTCCAGCCTCCTCCCGCCCTGTGTGTCCCAGAGCACCCCGCCCCCTCTCTCTGGCTCTCTCCATCTGCACTGCCCAATACAGCAGTCACACGCCGGTTCTTCAGTTTAAACGGCAATGAAATAAAACGTCTGGTCTATGTCACACCAGAGAAGCGCTCAAGTGCTCAGGAGTCACTGGTTGTCAGGGGGTGACCGTGCCAAACAGCAACAGGTCCTATCGGACAGCACTGCTCCCCATTTCTCTAGTGTGTGTGCATGGGCTTGCATCTGCTCTCTGCCCGCACCCCCTCCCTCTGAATCTGCCCCCACCTCCTGAGTCTGTGGCGATTGGCTCCCTCTTCCGCGCTCAGCACCCACCTACCCTTTCTCACGCTCTCCTCCTGCTTCTTTGCTCAGTCTTTTCCCTCCTATCGCTCTTCTGTTGTTTTGGGGTTTTCCTCCAGTTGTCATAAGTGTATATACAGCTGCCCCTTAAACAGTCTGAACTGTGTGGTGTTTGCGTTTTATCCCCAGTAATGGATCCAGTATAAGGATCACTGTACAAAGAAGGAAAGCTGGGAAGCCCCGGCAGTCACAGCAGCTACACGGAGTGAGAGGGCTGCACTTTGGCATAGTACCTTTTCATCCTGCGTGGAAAATGCAGCTTTTATGTGTTAATTCACTGCTGATGCTGCAGAGGCTATTAGAAGCTACATTTTAGGGAGTCAGAGTTGTATGAGGATTTCTGTCTGCACAGAAGGCTGGTTCTCCTCTAACGCCTCTAGTGCTAAAGGGTCAACTGCACACGCAACGTACATCAGTTAACAAAACCTTTGCCATTTCAGCCATTTTTACATGTGACCTTCATTACGTTCACCAGGATGTGCCTCAGCACCACCACCCACTCTTGCTAAGTTTCCCTCACTCCTAACAGAGACACAGCCCCCTCAGCGTCTAGTTACCCGCGTCTCCTTCCCTGCGTGGCCCTGGGAACCGCTGCTCTCTGTGCCCGTGCCTCTCCTAGGGATCCTGTAAAAGTCGTAGCCTTCAGGGTTTGCCCTTTTGTATTTGGTTTATTTCACCATGTCTTCAAGGCTCCTCCCCAGTGTCTCGTGGGGTGGAGACTATGGCTCTGTAACGGTCCACTGGTGTTATCTGCCATGTTCTGTCTTACCATTCACCTGTCTCGCTCCTGCAGGTTCCTGCTCTGCCTCACTCCTCCTGTCCTCCCTCCCTCAGTGGCACCTTGCCTCTCCCTGGCCCCTCATCCCCATTCCGCCCTCAACTCCCTACTTCACAGAACAGTTCTGAAAGGAGGTAAGTGACCATGATGCCAGTTTTTATTCACGTTAATCCCTTCTTCCCCAGTTTCCTGACATCGTATCAAGTAATTCATTCCTCTAGGCATCAGTGGGGGGAGCTCTGGTGACGCAGTCTGCTGGGAGCTGCACAGCCACCACAAAGGCCACGCCTCGTTGCTGGTCTGAATTCACCAGCAGCTTCCCAGGAACTTACAGCCCTCCCAGGCAACCTACAGCCTTGCAGACCCTCTGAAGGGTCATCTGAGTGGGTTCTGGCTCAATGATAATGAGCCTAAGACATCAATCACTAAGAGAAATACAGCTCCGGACCGAGGGTTATTGTTTCAGAGGTATTATCTCAAGTCCCGCATGACTGCTGGGCCTCAGTTATCTGGCTTAACTCAATTAAACCCCTGCACTCAAGTGGGCCCGCAGTACCGTTTCCTGACAGGCCATTTAAGTCCCGAGACCTGACACTCAATTCTCTTCCACAGCGGCATCCCTCCCTGCTTACAAAGTTTATCCAGGAATGAGTCTAAAACTTCTAACCCTGTTGAGATAAATAAAAGTCTGAAATGGAACGCTAATTTCCCTCAGGAGGTTGGCTTGCCTCTCATGTGAAGGAAGTCAGGAGGGCCTGCACACCTGCTGGGGGCCCCTCCAGCCACACTGGGGGCTGTCCGTGACCAGTGCAGGGACCACTGGGGTTGGGCCTGGCGAACTCTGCGCATCTAGAGCAGCTCAGTGCGTGACTTTACAAGGGGTACGGGGTGACTTGAGGAAAGGCATCATCTGTGCATGCTGTTCACAGTGGAAAAAACTGTGAGTGAGGCGCTCAGAGTGCCAGGCCCCCTGCTGAACAGTGTGTTGTTGTTGTTAAGTGCTGTTGAGTCGTGAACAGTGTGTAGATCCATAGACATTAGCTCACTTAGTCCTCCCTCCAGAGGAGCAAATCAAAGCCCAGAGAAGTTACGTGAACTGCCAGGATTAAAGACTGGTAAATAGCATTGTACTCTAAAGTACTCAAGAGCAACGGTGTCTCTCTGGAGAGTAAGGTGCGCCTGATACAGGCCATGGTCTTTGCAATCACTTGTTATGCATCAGAGAGTTGGACAATAACTAGGGAAGACAGAAGGAGAATTGATGCCTTTGAGCTGTGGTGCTGGAGAAGAGTATTGAATGTACCATGGACTGCCAAGAAAACAAACAGATTCATCCTGGAGAGGGCTCCTTGGAAGCAAGGATTCTGGGGCTTTGTCTGACATATTCTGGACATGTTGCCAGGAGGGACGGGTCCTTGGAGAGGGACATCATGCTTGGGAGGCTGGAGGGAAGGCGCAGGAGGGGAAGACCCTTTATGAGGTGGACTGACTCAGTGACTGGGGTAATCAGGATGGGTGTGTCAGAGGCAGTGCAATTGGCACAGGACAGAGCAGGTTTTAGGGCTGTTGTACCTAGGGTCGCTATGAGTTGCAAACGACTCGACGGCACATAACAACAACAACAAATGGCACTGAAGGGGCTAGCTGACCCCAAGTCAATCTCAGAATTACTGAGTCTTCCAAACCTGGCTCCTGACTTCTCACCTTATTTCCTTCACCGTGGCCTCCCAATTCTGCCTTGTTATTACTTACAACTGATAAAACAGCTCCCGTGTAACACATCCCCTTGGTGTTTTCACGCCAAGAAGGAATTTGCCCTCTTTCCTGATTCTTCTACAGCCTCCACTGCCCACTCTTGTTTCCCCTCATTCACCACTCAGCAAACACAGGTCTCTCAGCATAGTTTTACTAAAACAAAAATCCACTAATTTAATGATCTTGTATTCTCCTAAAATACATGCCTGATACAATGATATAATGTGGAAGCTATGGAACGAACCCCATGCTATCACAGACCAGATGGCTGTAACAGCATTAAGTGTGGAACACAGCACCGATTTACCCGATCACAGCTCTGATCAGCAGTAAGGGGAGTTTCTCAAGCGTGTGGCCTATAACGCCTTTTATCTCACAAGAGCTAGAAAGGGAAGACAGTGAGCTAAGGGCCCGGGACCTTAGCACCACCAAGAAAGAGTTGCCAGGAGTGGAGGGCATCCTTTTGGACCCAGGCCCTGGACAGAGGAAGCTCCTTGACACTGGGGAAGGCCAGGACACCTGGAGGTGTCCAATGATCACCTACAGATGCTGAAGGACAAGGACTTTCCTCTACAACCTACGTAGGGAGAGTTGGCCTGCCCCTGGAGTGGACACCCTGAATTCAGACTTCTAGCCTCCCAAACAGTAAGAGAATAAGCCACTGTTTGTTAGAACCATGCCCTTGTGGTATCTCACTACGTAACAAAGCTGCTCTTGGGAAGAAAGGTGGACTTGAGCTGCTCTTTGTTCCCTCTCCAGCGGCAGGCAAATGTGCCCCCTGCCCACTCTCAACCTAGTTACACATACCTTGTGGGTCCCTCTCCCTGGGCCTCTTCCAGCTCCCAGGGAGCTGTGTAGTTTCAGGCCTTCTGGCTTTGTACACGCTGCTTCTTCCCGTTAATTCAGTTTCTTTCCTGGTCCGCCTCCTTAGCCTCCATGGCTCTCCTGACGAAGTCATTCCTCTGAGGACTTGTGACACTCTGACCTTCAAGTCGGGGCTGACTGCTCTCCCTGTTCTTTCCTGTCCACAAATCTCTATGGAACCACTGACCACACCATCTATCCTCCAGGAACAGAAATTCTCTGAGTGCAAACACACCTTGTTATTCATCTCTCTCAGTGCCCTAGCCAATTCAGGTTTATGATCACTGCCAGCTGAATGAATGACTTTCCTGTTCTGTGCCTTTTTAAACATATTTCCTCTGGATCAAAATTCTGGAGCTGCAGAGAAATCAAGAGTAATCGCCCTTGGGATCTCCCTAGAAATTCCTTGTGGGACAACCTCCTATAAACATCTCTGCTTTTAGGAGATTACAAAAAGAGCTTTCCAGCTGAAGTGTTTAAAGGCTATTGGGACATTTCCTCCGTGTGTCATCCCTCCTCAACAATAATAATGCAGTTGTAATAGTAATAATAATGACTAATAATAGTAACAACACAAAATACCAACCAAATACAGTGTTCCAGAAACTTACATTCAGGATTATGGACCGAAGGTGCTTCTGTGCAAATGCGTTGGCCATATCCTACGGAAAAGAAAGCAAATATAAGACAAGGTGGCAAGCACCCCTCTTAGAATTGGGGAGGCAATGATGTTGTACACTAGGGCTTCCCTCCCCCTTTGTCTCAATTTTTCTTTTTCAGGGACAAATGGAAGACTATCCATAGACCATTAGGCAGGTTCAGGCTCTGAAGAAGTCCCTCACATTTTCTATGAGTGCAAATAACTCAAATAGCGTTTCCCTTCCCAAAGGCAAAATCCACTGTATCATCTTCAAAGAAGGACATGGACTGTGGCAGGGCCGGACATGCGTGTCATGAGGGTGTGGGGTGACGGACAGTGCACAGTGAACACAGAGCAGCACGATGCCTCCAGGCCGACACCCGCCGCCGCAGCTGGGGCGGGGGGCTCTCACCAAGCACTGACTCCACACCAAGAAAAGCTTTGTCCCCAGTCGCCCACTCTTGCTTCCTGCCCCTCACCAGCACCCATGTGGAAGCTTTGATTCACTTCTAATTGGGATAGAGAACACTGTGTTGGGTGCTCTGGGATAATTTTTTCACAGGAGGTTCATCTTTTCAATGATACTTGGCTCTGATTTTGACAGGCCTGCTTTATTTATTTAGCATGCTCAGGAAATAAAGCATCCTACGTAAGCGAATCTGCCAGCAAGGGCGGCTTTAAGGGTCTTCTCAGAAGGATTCATTCTCGTGACCATTCTTATGCAAATATTTTAAAAATATGTTATATACATTTCTTTATTTCTGGAAAGACTACAATGATTATCATTTAATCCCCGCCAAGGGCTTGGCTTCATCAGAAAGAACATTAGTTACTATTCTGTGTTGTGACACTCTAATGCTCTGAGGAGCTAGTGAAATGGGAAGCTATTTTCCCCCTAAACAAAATGGTCCCAGATTACTACGCTTTTAATTTTTCTGACAGCTTTTCATAAGTCTTCTGTCTCCCCCTTCCAACATCAGCCATCACTTCTTGCTAATGTTAATTAGTATGACTTCACTCCCTGAACTGCTGCCTCCACTCCATTTTATAGATAATTTTAAATCAATGGGCCCCAGGGAGCTGTCGCCCTTCCCCTCTCAAGTAACATCCATGAGCGCTGTCATTTTCCTCTGAGAGGATTTTTGCTTTCACATCTGAAACGTTTCTAGCCCATTAAGTTTTACTTTACATTCCCTGAGCACATACTGGCTGGCGGAGGAAGGTGGCCTAGAAACTTCTGTGGTCGCAACGGGAGGCCAGCCGGAGATGAGATCTTGCTGTGGACAACTCACAAAGTGGATAATTGACACTGGTCTGCAGCTCTACTGTAACGACCTCAGACCAGAAGCTTCTCTGTGGTCCGGGGGAGGAAGCACTTGTCTTCTTTCATCTCCTCATAAAGCTGACCTCTCGACAATGCCCTCTAGCCGGGAAACGAGCTTCCCAACTCTCTGCTGTCAATTGTCTGAACCTTTTCAAACCCCCCTGGTCTAGCAGGAGTCTGAAAAGGGCCTGGTCTTCCGTTCTTCTTTTGCTACAGCAAAAGTTGGAAGGCGAGACGTCTGTGGTGTCATCGAGATCAAAGTCCTGGGCTGTTTCTGAATCTGACCTCCCTCTTCTGTGGCTGAACCATAGAGCCCCGTAAAAGGAGTTCTCAGTGGAAGGCTGGGCCCCGTTCCCTGGAAGGCTCCCCTTCATCTTTGCTGGGACTCTAAGCTGCGGTCCTTCCCTGAGTGTCTCGACAAACGAGACCCCAGGCAGCCCACTTTCCCTGCGTCCTGGCACCCCGCCCAGCTCAGACCTCCCCACCTGGAAGAGAGCTGGGGCCCTTGCACACGGCGGAGACATTACTTACAGTGACAGGCAGGTCTAGAGGATTAAGGTGCTTGTCCTGCCAGCAGAGAGCAAAAGCACAGAGAGAAGCAGACGGAAGAATGAGCATTCAGCTGCCACCCCAACAAGGACCACACAGGGAGAGATGACACAGCCAAGCTATCCGAGACACACAGGGACAGACAGACCACAGGGGCACCTCGTCCTCCCACGGGGGTCTACCGAGATCTTGGGAAACGTCTCACATAGGTTTCAACTCAGAGTCCGTGACTTAAAAAGACAACTAACCCAATGGAGTTGGTTCCAACGTGTAGCGACCCTAGTGGACACAGTCAACCGAGCCCATGGAGTTTCCCAGGCTGTAAGGTCTATGGGGCGGACGGCCACATCTCTCCCCACGGAGTGGCTGGGGACCAGCCTTCTGGTTGGTAGTACAGTACTTTAACCACTGTGCCTCGGGGCTCCCTCATTCCTCCTCCTCTTCCTCCTCAGAGCCCATGATACTTACAGAGAACCAAAGAGCCTTACTTTTGTACATTACTTGGCATTTACCAGAGAAATAGAGAATCTCAGGGTTGCAGGGACCCTCAGCGTAGCCTTTCCACTTTACAGAAGGTGAAACTGAGACTCAAAGAGCATAAAGTACATGCCTAGCCTGCTGACCCCTTGGGTCAGAGTCTGTCCCATCACCCACATGGGGCCAAGTCTTCTCATTTCTCATTTGGAAAACACGGCCCTGCTGTTCATGACGCTCTTGTGAGGTAAGCAGGCCAGATACTGTAGCTTCCATATTACAAGTCAGGAAACTGCGGTTCAGAGAGAAAGAGTGGTTCATGTAATAGCACACAGCTGGTTAACAGGAGAAAAAGATGAGAGCTGGAATCAGAGAACGTTTATACATACAACTCGGGGCCACTGCCCTCTCTCTCCTCTCCATCCTGCAAGGAAGGACCTCATTTGTCTTAATCCTCATGGAGTCAATGGTGAGGGCCCAAGCTTCTCCTCTCCCTTCTTAATGACCTTTGAGTCCAGGGACCAGGAAATTATGGCCACCGTCGGCCTATTTTGTACACGGGATTTTACGGGAAGACAGCCATGTATGACCCATCACGCTCTTCAGCTACGATGGCAGTTTTTACCAACAAAGGTGAAAATACTTATTATCTTCCCTTTACACGACCCTGAAGGCACAGTGATTAAAGCACTTAAGCTGCTAACCAAAAGGTCTGTGGTTTGAACCCACCAGCTGCTCCGGAAGCGGCAGAATGTGGCAGTCAGCTCTGGTAAAGACTACAGTCCTGGAAACCTTCCTGGCTAGTTCCCTTCTGGCCTGCAGGGCAGCCGGGAGTTGGAATTAACTCACTGACGGAGGTTTTCTGCCTTTCACAGTTTTCTGGTGCTGCTCTGAGCAGCAGCTCAGAGACTCTCCCTGATCCTCGCCCTCAAGCTACTTCATGGGCTCTGACCACAGAGTCAGGAGGGAGGAGCCTTGGGAAGACGGCCGGATTTCACCCAGCCCGACCATGAGGGATGAGGTGAGGAGTCCCTTAGAAGAGCCCAGATGGACAGGTCGAGAAGGCAGCCACAGACCTGTCGCTTGTCCTCAGGAGCCTTCAGAAAAAGTGCGTTAATCAGTGCGATGGCGTAGGTCTGAATCTCCTGGTTGGAGCTGTGTCGGAGAGAGAGGAGGCAGAGGGAGATGATTAGAAGCGTGAACCACTGGACGATGCTTCGAGGGGCTTCAGAGACCGCACAGATTGTCATCAAATCGTCCTCTGGGGCCAAGTCTCAAAATCCTTCCGAGCGGGCACATGCTTTGACCCAGCAATCCCACTGATAGGATTTTATTCTAAGAGAGTCATTGGGGAGGCATGTGAAATTCAAAGACAAGGTATTTTTCTAAGGACTATTAAAAAAAAAAGAATGGTAAGCAATCCAAATGCATCAGAGAGTTGGACAATGACTAGGGAGGACAGGAGAGTGGATGCTTTTGAGCTGTGGTGCTGGAGAAGGGTACTGAATGTACCAAGGACTGCCAGGAAAACAAACAGATTCATCCTGGAGAGGATTAAACCAAGCTACTCCTTGGAGGCAAGGATTCTGGGGCTTCGTCTGACATACTTTGGACATGCTGCCAGGAGGGACGGGTCCTTGGAGAGGGATATCATGCTTGGGAGGGTGGAGGGACAGCGCAGGAGGGGAAGATCCTCTATGAGATGGATTGATTCGGTGACTGGGGTAATCGGGATGGGTGTGTCAGAGGCGGTGAGGTTGGCGCAGGATAGAGCAGGGTTTAGGGCCGTTGTGCATAGGGTCGCTATGAGTCGGAAACGACTCGACGGCACATAACAACAACAATAACAACAACAAGCAATCCAAATCTTCACCTTAGTAACTGTTACTTATATAAATTAGAATCCCAAGTAGTTGTTGAAAATCATGTTCAATGGCAAAGGTTCTTTATCAGCTATTTAAGGATGGGCTGACAGGATCTGTGAACCCCAAAAGCGGCTCAGAGAAGTCTTCTAAGAAAGTCTACAGCTGTAACCTTGTGGATTGAGAGATATGCTGCCAATCCAAAAGCAGGCTGGTTTGAATCTGCTCCATGAGAGGAAAGTGGCCAAACTCTTCCCGTACAATTTACAGCCTCTGAAAAACTGCTGGAGCATCAGTTCCAACTTGGCAACATACAGCATCATTAACGGTCACTGTTATTTTCAATTTAGCATTCCTTTTATAAGACTCTTTGACGTAGGGAAATGTTCAGGATATAGACAATAAAAAAGCAAGGTATATACACAACCCATTTAAGAAGAATCTAATTTTTTAAAAAATATTCTTAAAAAATCCACCCCAAACTAGAGGGTCATTTCATTTAATGTCCACAGTGACAAAGTCTGGCAGTGGGATAGTGGACACTGAATGACTTTTTTGTGCTTTCAGTCTTTGACTATTAACTTAATCTTGCTTTATTTTAAACAAAGCCCAGCCATTGTCTGGAATCTGATACGCCTGGAGGCAGAAATCTCAAACAGTCCTGGCACTTGACAAGACGTTTTCATCCATCCGGCAGGGGTGTGCTCCGTCCGGCAGGGGTGTGCTCAGTCCTGCAGGGGTGTGCTCTGAGGCTCTTGCTAAAGGGGCTGGTGGGTTTCCGGGCCAGGTGGGGGACATGCTGGTGTCTAATGAATGGCACTGCATGTCCCTCCATTCAATCAGCAGAAAGCGTAATTTCCCATGACATTTGTGGACTGAAGGATTCACTGACTATCTCCTAAAAAAATGCCACCTTCCTCTCTCATCCTCAGGGAGGTGGCTGGGATCCTCCCCAGCCCAATTTAGAGTCAAAGAAACAGAGGGGCAGACTGGAGGTCACAGGAAATTAGAACTCTCGTCCCTGTTATTGTTAATGTTCGTTTCAATGCAATCGACTTTTTGGCTCTTTGGGTACAAGTTAAGGGCTTAAAAGTTGGAAACTGAAATATCATTTGATCCAGCAATTCCACTACCCTAAAAAAACCAGAACCGCCATCCAAATGGATATATGCACATCCATGTTTACTGCTGCGTTATTTACAACAGCAAAGAGATGGAAGCAACCCAAGTGCCCATCAACAAACAAATGGATAGAAAAACTATGATATATGATAATACTACACAGCACTGAAAAACTATGAACTCATATAACATTAAACAACGTGCTGATCCTGCAGTGAAATATCTCAATCACGAAAGGACAAATACTTCATACCACCACTGCTATAAAGCAGGTCTGACATAGGGGGTTGAGAGGAAAAAACTATAAGATGAACACTGCATTGGAACAGAGGAAGGAAAGAATTAAAAGGAATATATGATTAAGCATTATACATACAACAGCCCAGAATAAGAGGTACATTGCAAAGAGGACTGAGGGAGGGGGGAGGTAACTATGCAACAATGAATGAATATTTTAAAAAACAGTGAATTTGGGGGAGGGGGAATGGAGGGAGAGGAGATAAAAATGTGCAATAATGAATGAATAAAAATTAACTTTTCCATAGTTTTGTTTAAATCATAAATAAAATATTTTATTAAAAAATAAAATTAAAAAGATTTTTAATAAAAAAGTGATAGGCAGAAATTAGAACTGAAAATACAAGAAAAGAAAACACAGAGGGGGCAAACCTTGTTTTCACTTGGAAGAGTGAAGAACAGGCTGGAAGCCGAGTGGAGGGAGACAGGGCTGCCACAGATCCTCACCTCCGGACCTAGAGCCTCCCCCTCCCACCTCGGCTTTCCTTTCAGGGGTCAGGCAATGTCTGACACACTAAGGGTGAGCAAGTCAGGCAAGGGGTGGGTCCACCCTGGTTTTGGGAAGGCCAGTCTCCCTTGAGTTGTGGTGGTGTTAAGGTAAGTTGAGCATGACTCTTAGCGATCCTATGAACAGCTTTGAACCCTGTCCTGTCCTGTGCCATTCTATCATTTCTGATATGGTTGATTCTACAGCTTCAGCCACTATGTCCCTTCATCTTGTTAAGGGTCTTCCTCTCTTTCGTCACCTTCCACCATTCCAAGTGTCATGTCCTTTTCCAAGGAATAGCCTCTTCTAACAACATCCCCAAAGTGTGTGAGACAAAGCTTCACCATCCTTGACTCCAAGGAGCATTGTGGCTAAAGTTGTGCCAAGACATAAGTGCTTGCTCTTTTGGCAGTCCACAGGACACTCGGCACTCTTTCCCAACACACACAACTCAAGGGCATTGATTCTGCTGCTGTCATCCTTATTCACTGTCCAGCTCTCAGATGCACAGCAGATAATTGTTCTACACGGTCCTCTGAGGAGAACGGCTTAACCTGATAGCACACAACAAACACTGTAGGTTGCAATAAGCTTTTTTTCTTTTTTAAATTTGTTTTTATTTCATATTTTTTGTGCATGTACCATCAAATCGGATCTGACTGGTACAGGAGAAGATTGTCCCTCCTTCTCCAGCAGAGCATCTGGTGGATTCAAACCGCACACCTCTGGGATTACAGTGCAGCTTCTTGAGACTAGGCTACCAGAGCTCCCTTCGATAAGCTTCTTAAAGAGCCAAGCAAACTCCCGTCCAGTGCTGACCACTGTGGCAGTTCCTTTGATCTCCTTTGACCCTCATGCATCTGAGAGGCGGGGGTGATAACCCCAACCTACCAAAGAAATGGAGGCCAGAAAAGATCAGATAACCTGCTTAAGACAGTGAACAAGTTCACACGTCACTTTTATCGAGTCCTGCTCTAACAGAAGGAAGCTCTGGTGATGTGGTACCTAGCCACACGCCCCTAGGGAGGTACGCTGCCTGTCCAAAGGTGGTGTCTCTCTGGCTGTTCAAACCTACCAGCAGGTCCTCGGGAGAAGGACGGGCAGACTCCTTCTGTACAATTTACCACTTCTGAAAACCCAGTGGAGGATCAGTTATGAGTTGGTTTTGACTCCACAGTAGAGCTATAACAGAAATACCACAATGGACGGCTTTAACAAACGCCTCATTATTCTCCACTGTTAAGAAGTCCAGCTTCTGAGTGCCAGCCCTAAAGGCAGGCGATGTCTCTCTGTGGGTTCTGAGGAAAGACCACGGTCTCCTTTCAGCATCTGAGACCTTGGTTGGAGAACTCCATGTGTGTGGTATAAGTCTTCCCCCGGGTGAGGTGAGTTTCAGCGTGGGATGACAGCTCCCAAGGAAGTCTGTGCTTCTGGCTCTGGTGCTTCTCTCTGGACTGAAGTCAGAGATCCCCACCTCTCTATTCACTCCTCTTTTTCTTTCATGTCTTGAAATACAAAAGGTGATGCAGGCTACACCCCGGAGAAATTCCCCTGATCAGGGCTGTGACGGGAGAAAGGGTACTGAATCCCACCCTAATTGCCAGATGCCTTCCTGTAAAATGACTACATTACTCCTTAACCATCAACTCACTGAGATCAAAGCTCACTTTGTGATCAAAGCCCAGCCAAGCTGACAAGGTTTGGGGTGTGGGGGAAGGCACAATTCAGTCCAAGGCATGCCACTTGTGACCTCTCCTAACTGCATATTGTAACCACATGCAAAACAATTTCACCAGATGATGCTATCAGTAAATCAATTCTAAGCTCAAATTCTATCCTTGGTAAAATTTCTCTTCATCTTTGAAACCAGAATACAAGTAATCTGCTTCCAAATGTGATAGTAGAATGGGCACAAGGTTGACATTTCCATTAAATGGGAGAAATGAAAGAGAAACACAAAATAATGGGCACCAAGCGAGTCCAAAACCCAGTAGAAAGATACACATTTGCTCTTTATGCATGGAAATAATCCTCTGTTCTAAGACCACCTAAGCTGAGGATTATGGAAGATCTCCATGTGTCTGGGCCCCAATCTTCTTGAGTCTAGGAGATTCTCTGTGCAGTGGCCCCTGTCCCAACGGATGCATTCTGCTTCCAGTTCTTCCCTCTTGACAGTAGTCAGGCTATTCCTTCTTTTCTGCTTCTCTTTTCCTCATGAAATATAAAAGGTGATGCAGGCCACACCCAAGGGAAACTGACAATCCAATCTAACAATCCCACTAGGCTGTGATCTGAGTAAGGATGTTGCACTTTACCCTCATCCTCTTACAAACGACTGGCTGATCATATCATAGCACAGTCGATGAATGTATCATTATCCTCTTGCCAAATTACATCACTACATAACTTGAAAACCACTGAGAGTTGGTTTGCAAGTTCACACCTGTTACGGCAGGAACGCAATTCAACCCATGACAGAAACAACTGTGAGTCTAAACTTTTATCACCCTGAACTTGAGTCCTAAAAACAACCCCCTGCTACCTTCCACAGCAAACTGTTCAGTAAATGCTCATTTAATAGACACTGGTTGAACTACTTCATTCAAAGCAGAGGCTATAAAAACAAATGGTCTTTGTCTTGAGCGAAGCTAAGGTTTAACACTGGAGAATGATAATGAAATTAGAGTATTTCATGCAAATATTATAATTCATATATGTAGATTATTAGACCCAGAGAAGAGAATGCATCTCATGTCTGGTTGGAATAAGAAGGCTGGGGGAAATGTCGCTTTATTCTCTGAGCCAAGGAGAGTTAGCTGAGGAGTTTAGGCAGGAGCATGACGTAACCAGTTATGAGTTAGTTTTGGAAAGAATTCTGGCAGCGGTGTGGAAGAGATGGAGAATGAATGAACAAGAAGATCTGATTCTTGGAACAGAAACAAGGCAGAGAAAGGACTGTAAGACTCAACTAAAATACAAAGAGAAGGGGGGTGGGGCAGGGTCCTTACTCACACCTGAAGGTGTGAAATGAGCTGTCCCACGGTGATTTCCTCTGCAATCTTCTGGTACAGACTCTGGCTGTTCAAGACCATGCTCTCCAGAATGGCCAGGGACCTCTGAAGGATGGACACGTCCACCATGGGCTGGCTCACGTACCCTGCAATCTAAACCCGAGGGGCACATCAGTTGGGGAGCTGAGGGCCCAAGAAAGCGGGACCACTGGGAAGTTGAAGGTCAGCCTTTGGAGGCTCTGTCCTCTTGGACATAATACCTATATTTTAAGCAGCTGTCTACTACTCCAATGTACCAAGGGCCATACTGCCCCTGATGGTGGGCGCAGTGTGTTCCAGGCTCCGCTGCTAACCCAACAAAGGTCAGCAGTTCAAGTTCACTAAGTGCTTCATGGAAGAAAGATGAGGCACTTGCTCCAGTTAAGATTTACAAATCCAACGGAGGTTCACCTCACCATGAGCTGGAATCAACTCGGTGATGGGGGGCCTAGGTTTTTGGATTTTGTTGCCGAACAAAAGAGGGCTAAATGAGAAGTCCTCTTAACCTCTTCATTTTCATTAAGTTCAGTCTGCAATTAAAGCCGTTGGCTAATGGTATGCTATGTATAGCTATCTTGGCCAGTGTGTCAGGGATTCCACACTCATGAATAATTCAATATCAGATTATAGTTTCCAATTCATTGTTTTTCTTCACAATGAAAGATCTTAATCCTTAGATTTCAAAATAGATCATGGAGGAGCTAGGTAGAAAGATTTTACTGATGCTTGTATTTCATTCGACCTACGTGCACTCTAGTCTCACACACACTTTTCCCCATACACATGCCAGATTCTGAGAGGTGTGATGCACCTTTAAATCTTTAATTTCTCTTCTCAATTACTACTGTACTAACCCTGACTAATGGTCACTGCGCCTTTGCTCCAGTATCTCCAGTGTCAGGAAGTTCCCAATGTTCCAGCTCAATGAGAGGGCAAGGCCAGGAAGATGGAAACCTAATAGTTCACTGACTGTACATCAGTCTTCTGGACTGACACTGTCCCTTATTATAGTAGTAAAGAGGGGAAAGTTAAAAATACCCTTAGTCCCTCCCTTGGCCAATGACACCAATCTAACAATCCAATCAGGCTACCTTTCAGGTTTATAAATGGGGGGGGGTGAATGAAATGAACATTCTTTATCAGAAGAAAAGAGAGAGCTCAGAAGACAACAATGGTGTCGGTTTTATTCCAAGTCCCACTCCCGATCCATCCAGACCTGGGAGCCTAGCTCCACCTTGCCCACTGCAGGTTTGAGAACATAACTGAGATATCCTTTCAGGGGCTACAGGAAGACCAAAGGCTGAGGAAGACAAATCTGGCCCCAGGGATTAGGAAGCTGACTCCCACCTGAATGGCTACACAGCCTGCACCTTCCCTTAAATCCAGAGACCAACCAGCAGCTCAAAAAGGAAAGAAAGGCGGGTGGAAGCCTCACCTGCTTAATAAAGGTGATTGAAACCATGTCCCAGGAGACGATGCCATGGTCCATGAGCTCTAAGAAGGCAGTCAGGGTGAATGCCAGCATCTCACTGTAGCTGAAGTGCGTACAAAAGACACAAAATAATGCAGGGTTAGAACCGGGAACCCAGGAGTCAAGACAGTTAACGCATGGAAGCTTTGCCTGCGGAAAACAGCTGAAGTTTGCATATCCACTGTGACAGCCAAGTCCCAGAGGGAAAGGTGGCTGGGTGAGCCAGCTCTTCTTTCCCTTACAGCCCCATCTCAGGGAAAGAGTCACTTCCTATTGCCTGAGGTCAAAAGGTATCAGCCCTTCGTCAAACTCTAAAACTTGTTAGGGGGATCTCCACGAACTTCAGCCCCATGGAGCCTTTAGTCAAGGGGCAGCAGGGGACATGAGGAAGAGTGCAAGGTGTGGACATGGGTTCAACTCCTATTCAACCATTTATTAACCATCTAAGTTTGGCCTTTCTGAGCTTTGGTTCCTTCCTGTGTAAAACAGAGATAATCTCAGAGTTTACTTCACGTGGCTGTGGTGAGGACAAGATGACAATGTGAGCAAGCCCTCACCACAGTGCTGAGAGGAAGGATTCAAATGTTTTCTCTCTCCTTACATGCATCACCCTTTTACGTCTGCACAGGGCACTATAATTAACAAGCCATTCTCCCACTTACAAGACATACTCAGATCTACTGTCTCATTAACAAAACTCCTCGCAACAACGCTGCGAGGTTTTTTTAAAATTCCCATTTTAAAGAGCAAGAAACTAAGGCTAGGCCAACTGTGCCTCCCTAGAGACTGCACAAGTCCCGTCAGTTCAGATGGGAGCCAAGGCTTTGGGCATTCAATGCAGCCCGAGGGTCCACTGTGCACCCCCAGAGACTGCTCATCCTGTCAGCACAGGTGCGAGCCCCAGGCTTCAGGCACTCAACACAACTCGAGGACCCAAGACTTCAGACAGGTAAGATCAGGATTCATGTTCAGTTTGGCTGAAAATCTCAGCAGCTGATGCACTAGCTAAAAGAAGATTTGACTCCCTTTCTGTCAGTTCAGCCTCCACTTGCTCACATGGGAACCTAAGAAGACATCTATCAATCCACTGCTGCTCCCAGGTATAGCTTCCCACCTCATTCTTAATACGGTCCAGACACAGACACACAGCCCTGGTGTATAATAAAGCTTGAGGGCCTTCCTCACTGTGAAAAGGTGTGGTTAATGATTTAGGGTGACTACAAAGGGGGGCTTATTTGTGGAGAGAGAGAGAGAGAGAGAGAGAGAGAGAGAGTGTGTGTGTGTGTGTGTAAACAGTGGGGAAGTGATGGAAAGGAAGACAGTGGTTAAGAACAGGTGTCTATACTGGTAGAAAATGTGCAGACAGCCCGCTCACTAGCCCCCACCACGCCGAGCATTCTTTTACAAACTGACAGGCTTGCCGTCGACCATCACTTCCTTCCCTGACTTGCTCAGCACCTATTTTCACTACCCACTTGGCGCCCAGTCATCTGCTGGTTGGCACGGTTCAATCTGTGAGAGCCTGTACTTGTCCTCAACCAGACTATAAGACTGTAGAGCCTAGCTGTGAATTCTCTCTCTCTCTGCGGACCTTAAGGAGCCCTGGCAGCACAGGGATAAGGTGGGTTGGCTGGTAACTGAAACGTTGGCAGTTCAGACCCATCTGCCACGCCCCGGGAGAAAGACGAGGCAGTCTGCTTCTGTAAAGGTTTGCAGCCGTGGAAACCGTATGGGCAGCTGTCCATCCTAGAGGGTCACTGAGAATTGGAACCAACTCAATGTCAGTAGGTATTATTTTCATAGAAGCCCTGGTATTCAAGTAGTTGGATGCTTGGCTGCTAGCCCAGAGCCTGCTAGTTCAAACATACAAGTTGCACTGAGGAAGGACGTGGCACTCTGCTTCCTTAAAGACTGACAGCCTCGGAAACCCTACGGAGCGGCTGTCCTCCATCCTGGATGGCCGCCAGGAGTCAGAATTGACCCAACGGCAGTGAGTTTTATGAGCAGTCTCGTGTGGGCTGACTGTTTTGCATACAGAAGATGTTTAATAAATACTAGGTTGGTTTTTCTTCGCCCCCTCACCCCCCAGCCCCCGACTCTGTGGAATACAAGAACAGGATGGCTGGTGGGACGTGGTGGGTCTTTGAACACCCCAGGGGCACAGTACTTACTGGGACAGGAGCTTGGTTCCACTCTCCACCAGCCGCGTGAGCACCACGATGCCATCCATGTTGATAAACTCGGTGGCAAAGGTCACGTCAGCAGAGAGCTTGGCCAGCTCCTTCATGGCGTCCAGCCGGGTCTCCATACTGGACGACTGGGTCCTCTCCATCAGCTGGCGTGCAGCCCGGGACTGTGGGAGCAGGGACAAGACCTGTGCCATCTGCTCCTGGCAGCAGGCTGCCCTCCGGAATAGCTCTGAGGGGCTGCTCTCTGGACACCCAAGCCTGAGGCAAGACTCGTTTGTCGTGCCGCTCAGGAGCTGCGAAGTGTTTACTGACTCCATCAGGGAGTTAATGTACAGTGCGCCAAGACCAATCTGCGGCTACCTACATCCTTGCTGCCACTCTGTCTACGGGTGACAAAAATGCCAGCTAAGGGGATGCAAGAGCGATTTGGGAGACAACAGTTCCACTAACCAGGGTAAGTCACAGAGAAACGGATTCAGTGATCTTTCTCTCGGTATCACTGTCTTCCTTCCCATCACTTCCTGCTGTTCACACACACACACACACACACACACGAGGGCTCAGTTCCAGGACCCCTGACGGTACCAACATGAGTAGGCTGTTCACGTCCTTTATATAAAATGGCCCAAAGGGAGCTCTGGTGGCCTAGTGGCATGAAGCTGCACTGCGATCTCAGAGGTACACGGGTTCAAATCCATCAGATGCTCTGCTGGAGAAGGAGGGACAATCTCCTCCTGTACCAGTCAGACCCGATTTGATGG